TCCGTCTTCTAGCTGTTGTTCAAGAATTCTGAACTGTAGCACTTTACCCTGTTTGTCTTCTAGTGCTTGTTTAGGAATTCTGGACGAGCTCTTCAATTTTAGAGGTCCAGACTTCGTCTTCGAGCTATTTGTTCTTGAATCAGCATAATTATCTTCAATCTAGCCGTTGAGAATCAAGAGATCGATTCTTCCTTACCACCGGGTAGAGTTTCTTCATTCAGGACTTAGATAATTTTCCAAGTCTTTTTCCCACTTGTCCGCTTTTTGAGAATTCCGGGCTTCAATGAGTCTTCCGTTTCTTAGCTGACAAATCCGGAGAGGTCATTCTGAGTCTTCCGGGTGAGAAGGAGTTCCGCGCTAGTCTTCCGACTTAGCCTAAGCGGGTAGTAGCGAGACATCCGGTTTTCATGTAGTCTTTCGGAATAGAGGATCTTCATTTTCTTGAGAAATCCTTACATGTCTCTGACATTTCCGATCAAGGTATCCGATTTCCATATCACGAATTTGATTAAGTCTTCAGGCATCAAAACGCTTAAAGGATAATCACAATTTTATTGGAAATCTCAAGAGCTCGGTTTTGACAATATTTCTAAAAAGAAAAATTACATTGAATATTGGGGGAGACCTAAAGTCCCTATTACATTCTAAATACATCATCATCAAAATCTATAATATTTTTCCCAACATAGACCATTCTTTAAATAAAATGGATTGAAAAATTCAAAAAATTACTTCGTTTAGTGTAATGTTGCTTATATTTTGGGACGGAGGGAGTATGTAATTTGAAACATTTCTTGCACTTGATATTCAACTATTCCCGAACAACTGGCTAGGGGTGTAAACGGATAATATCCGTGACGGATATGGCATATCCGAATCCGTATCCGTTTAAGTTTAGGAATATCCGAATTTGTATCCGTATCCGGCGGATATGTACTATACTATATCCGAATCCGTATCCGACGGATAATTATGAGTTTCGGATATATCTGAATCCGATTAGATATCCGAAAGTAACCGAATATCCGAATCCGATTAGATATTCGAAAGTAACCGAATCCGAAAATATCCGAGTCCATTAAAAAATCCAATTAGATATCCGAATCTATTTATAAATAAATTAAACACAGTCCAAAACTATAATTGAAGTCCATAATACATTAATACCAAGGTTAACATGTTTTGAAGTAGGTTTTTTCCATTTTTTCTTAAAAAATTTCTTTGTGGGCTTTTTCTTTTTTTACATGGTAGGGTAACATATTGGGAATTAACAAATAAATTAGTAATGGTAAACTATGTAAATAATTGATACTCTACTAGGGTTATATTTATTCAAAAAATTATTCGGTATTCGGATAAATGGATAAACGGATATTGGTAAACGGTTATTTAAACGGATGTATATTCGGATCGGATTTTAAACAGATCGGATGGATATACAATTACCATATCCGTATCCGTTTAGTAATCGGATACCTTTAATCGGATACGGATAATATCCGTTTAAAACGGATACAGATATATTCTCCTTTAAAACGGATACGGATGCGGACGGTAAACGGATTTTCGGCTATCCGTTGACAGCCCTACAATTGGCACAGTTTGGGTGTGTCGTACCTTACATTAATATGCAATTTTGAGTGTATTTCATAAACTTACCGAAAAATAGAAACCTAGGGATTTGCATTTTTGTTCAAAGTGGGGTGATTTAAAATTAGTAGATCATGTTTTCTATGGATAGAAGCTAGATTTTTGTTTTCTATGTCACTAAATTTTTTTGGTAGGCTGTTAGTGTTGAATGCTAATTAGTTTTACTTGATGTATGCATTAAACTACCATATGATGAGGTAAAAGAATTGTCTCAAAATGAAAATGATTCCACAAAGTATGTGATTATAGAGAAAATTAAAGTGTGGTTTGGAATTTGGATTATAATGTGTTGTGAGAAGTTCAATTATTAACGGATGCAAAATATTATACACTCCCTCAATTCTTTAAAACTCTTCTTCTTTCGTTTTTTTCAATTCCCTAAAATACTTCCACTTTCTACTAGCATTAAAAAACCACTTTTACCCCTACCTTTTCATACCCTACCTATCACATCATACTTTTTTTTACTAATAACCAAACTATCACATCTTACTTTTATCTATCACATCTGAGGCTAAATTGGAAAGTTAATCAAAATTACACTTTTCTTATTTTGGCCCAAAGTCAAAATAGGAAGTGTTTAAAGAAACGGAGGGAATATTGTTTATTTTTCAAGCGAATATTATAACTTTTACTAATTATAAACAAACTAAAAAATTGGTTCATTAAAAATTACATTAACACAAGCTGATGAAATTAAAACAGATGAAACAGAATTAAATAGAAGAAATATGAACAAAACAATAATGAAGTCTTCCCCTCTTTCAGTTTAAACGAAACCTTAAAAAGGATCATTGAATTCATGCGATTTTTTGTTCCCTATTGTTTATGTTGAGAATATGAAATGATTTTTTCCAACACAAAGAATCATTGAATTTACACAAAGACCAAATGCAAATTTTTTTTTGCTTGCAGAATGATTATAATCAAGTTTATGACTCAAATGGTGTGTTATTACTTATTTGCACTTCAAGAGACAGCTTCCACCAGACCCAAAGGTACAAATGCAAAAAATACTCAACATTATGATACCTCCTCATATTGCACCATTTTGTTTTACACTTTCATACTCCGGGGTATATTAAAAAGGCTGTAAAGTCCATTGCTTTTTTTTTTTACCAAAAAGATTAATCATGGTCCAAAATCATTTTTTGCGCCACGAATAGAATTTCTATTAATTTTCATATAAGTTACTAACAATTTGCGATTGAATGTTTTTTAGTAAGAATGAAAATTCGATCAGCTAATCACTCAATGGCCAATCCCTTATGTTATGTGTTACGTAGTATTTGTGAGTAAGTCACCAAAAGCAATGCTTATGGTGCTAATCCCCCCCCCCCTCACATACTTAAAATGATTTTTATAAATTTAATAAACTATAAATTTATGGATTGTTGAAAAATATAACAAGTCAAAAAGTTTACAAAAATTATACTCCGTATGCAGTTTCTGGAAGCCCGTTCTCTTCATATGGAAGAGCTTTTGTAATAACTACTCTTAGGTGACAGAGATACAAACGAGAGTTCAATGGGAGGAACGAGTAATAACTACTCAATTTTTGATATTATATGTTGACATTATTGAAATTAATGAGATAAAAGCGGAGTATCGATCAATTGTTGGCATTGTAGATTAGTACGTAGTATTTCACATTGTAGATTAGTACGGAGTATTTCACATTGTTTTCACATTGGAGTATTAAAGAGATAGAAGCATGAAAGTCCAATTTGGGAGATAATTTCTACGGAGTATATTTTAGTCTTATTTTCATTCTTTTTCCTAATCAATATGTTTTGCAATATTTAATTTTATGTGAATCTCACTTTTTATATCATTTATTTGTATTTATTTATATTCAAACATTAGTAACTCAAATATTTCACAATTCATATTTTGAAATGAATTTCTTTTCGTGCAAAGCACGAGTATGAATCAAGTCACTCACAAAACTATAAGTGATATGATTGTATAA